TCTATATCCATACATTAGTTTTGTCTGTTTTTGAATTATGTATCAGTAGAATCACACAATGATTTTGGCTTTTATTCAACACAATATTTTTGAGATTTATCCATGTTGTTGTGTGTATCAGTAGTTTGTTCATTTTTATTGTTATGTAGTGTTCCACATAGATATGCCAGAGTTTATTTATGCATTCACATGTTGATGACCATTTGGATTGTTCCCAGTTTTTGTGGACATAGGTGTTCATGTCTCTTGTATAAATACCTAGGAGTGAAATTGCTGGATCAGAGGATAATCCTTAATAGGTTTGGTATTTCCCATTTCCTCCAGCTTGGAATATTTAGACTGTAGTAATAGGCTACTTGATGCCTGGAAGAGATAAACCTTGGTGTAGTAGAACAAACTTTTAAAAAGTTCTATTATAATATTTTATGCTTAAGGATATTTTTAAAAGTATCTTGCTCAGCTGTATTTTAATGAAAATAGTATATGGTTTGTACACAATAAGCTCCTTTTAGATAGGTTTATAAAAACCAAGGGAAATGAACCACTACTTTATTTGATAGTAGCAATTTTAATTTTAAACTTGTATATATATATATATATTTTTATTGAAGTACAGTCAGCTTACAATGTGTCAATTTCTGATGTACAGGATGCTTCAGTCATACATATACATACATATGTTTGTTTTCATATCCTTTTTCACTGTAGGTTACTGTGAGATATTGAATATAGTTTCCTGTTCTATGCAGTATGAACTTCTTGTTTATCTATGAATTTTAAATTAAAAAATAATTTGACAATAAAACTGATGAAAATAAATAGAACTTGAAGCATTCTGGATTTAACAACATTGGATGTTTTAAACAACCTTAGCATTGGTGCAGTATCTTCACATTAAAGTTGTTTTCAGGTTATTTGGTAAGAAAATTTCTATCAGTTTGTTTGTGAGGCATATTAATATTACCCTGTCTCCTGTGGTGCCTCTTGAATTCACCAGGCCTAGCTGTTCAAGAGTTTATTTAATAGTGCCCCTATGTGGTTTCTCTTCACTGTTGTCTTTCCTTCATTAGTTACCTCCTTAAAAAAAAGAGGTAAGTATACAATTATATTTTAATCTCTAAAGCTAAATATTCAGTGTACTGTGTGTATATATGTGTATATATATTTTTTTGAGGTAGGAGATAATTAGGTTTATTTATTCACTTTTTAGAGGAGATACTGGGGATTGAAACCAGGACCTCGGGCATGGGCTCTAGCACTTGAGCTGTACCCTCCTCCTGTGTGTAATGTATATTTTGAAGTTGAGGGAGGTCACAGAAAACTAAGCATAATAATAACCATTTTGTACAATTTGCCCTACATTCTTTTTTGGGGGGGGTAAGTAATTAGATTTGTGTGTGTATGTATGTATATGTGTGTGTGTGTATGTATGTATGTATTTATAGAGGCAATACTGGTGATTGAACCCAGGACCTCATGCACGCTAAGCATGCACTCTACCACTTGAGCTATACCCTCTCCCACTGTCCTACATTCTTATGTATTTGTTATATATGGCCAGAGAAAGTAGAATTATAATTTGTTACTGATTCATAACCTGCCATGGATGCTTTGGTGTTAGATGGTTTTTTGAACTTTCACTTAGGTAGTATTAGAAACATTTTCAGAAAGACGTGATGCTAATTTCATGCCCAGGAGTTTGTGGTTGAACTCAGCTGAGCTCCACCGCTCTCATCGTTTTCAACGAGTAAGTAGGCTCATGATGCTTTCATAAAAATGGCAGAAGTACAGGAGACAAGTGGAAGCATTAAGATGGCTTAAGACTTGGCACACTATCACTTCTGCCCGCATTACATTGGTCATAGCAGGTCTCATGGTTGAGCCCAGTGTCAAGAGTGAGGAAATATATTCTGCATATAATAGGACAAACTGCAAAGTGACTTGACAAAAGGCATGTACATAGGAAACAGTGAAGAATAGTGTAGTCTGTTACATATGGAAAATTAAAAACACGTACAAATAGTGCAAAGACTATAATGTCCTCATCATTCAGCTTAGCAGTTAGAAACATGTGGTTAATATTCCTTCATATATGTTTACTTAGTGCCTTAGTAAGTTAAATGTGTCTGATCTATTTTTGTAGGTTAAGATTGGTCATTTGATTCAGGGCATTGCTGTCTTATCCATCCATTGTCAAATGCCTCATCAGTCTTTTACCTAATGATTTTAATAGCCAATGTCTAATTCAGTGCTTCTCACAGATCTGCAATAAAGAATCAGTTTTTAAAAAATTCCAATCCACCGTAACTACTGTTTTTGTAAAATACCTTTTTAGATATTTAAAATTAAGAAATCTAATGCAGAGAATAAAAGCCTTAAATTTTTATTACAGATTCAAGGAAATGAAATTACTCTCTCAACTTGTTTTATAAGTTTATAAATGCTTATATAAAACTTATGTACATTTTCCTTTTATGGACTGGTGACAGTTTGCAGACCAGCACTGGTCCTTTTGTGGACCACAGTAACTTAGATCCATTATTTTATAAGAGATTGCAAAATGCTGATATTCTAATTCTGTTTTTTCTGGAACTGTTATAAAGAACTTTCTCTCATTAACCCTATGGTTACTTGTGGCAGAGTTGATACTAAAAAGCAGAATATATGTATACATGATTCCTTCCCATAACTCAAAAATTTGGTTCATAGTTTTTTCAAGTTCTATTAACTCATTATTTTCAATAAAGTGTAGTTCAGGCACATGTGATAGTTGAAAGGGCCAGATATAGAACGGAGATTGGGATTATGAAGTATAATAGTAGTATCTTGAAAAATGGACTGTGTGCTGAATACCTGTGAAACTGACATTCTACTGCTTAAACTCTATAGTTTTTCTTAGAAAAAAAAAACTATAGATTTCCTTAGATCTCTTCTAAGCTAAAACTAATTCTTAAACGTGTTTTAGGAATAGTGATTTTATAAGAGAGGCAAAGTTGAAGCTCTTCACAAACTCAGTATATTTAAAGAGATAGCCCTTTGATTATCTTTCATCTCTGCTTGAAAAGTGTTGTCATCTGAGGTCATACTGATAGTATGAGGTGATGAACTGAAGGGAGGCTAAAACTGTATTTCTGTTTCTTTGTTTGCTTCTTTGCAAGGAACCTTTGGTTCTATAGTATCGTGTAGCCTATCCAAGGCAGTATTTTTTGTTAAAATAATAGATCTCAGCCACAATTAGAATGCAGAGTCAGTCGGGAAAACTAAAGGTTAACATAAAGAAAAAAACCTGTGAGGCGTGTAACTAAGAAAATCAGGTTGAACATAATTCAGAACTTTTTCTTCTGATATTTTAGTGGTATGACAACAGTTACTGAATGCTGTTTGGGTGTGTATATTGCCAACTTTCAGAAAAAAAACCAGAATGATTTGGGCTAATTAATAGTAGTTTTGATTTATCTAGAGATCACCTTGTTTCTCAGTTGGCTAATGCTGACCATTGAATGGGAAAAGTAGCTATAATAAAACTTTTTAAGGATTTAAAATGAGGTAAAGAATAGTGTACTTTGATTTTAATCAACAGTGCCAAGTTTTTTTAGTTATAGTTTGTCAACCAAGTTAATATTGCTATAACTTTCTCAAAAGACCTCTTTTAGGATCATTGAAATCAAAGGGGAAAATAGATCATTGATTTCAAAAGGTTTAAAAATTAGAATTAGAAATTGTGACACTGGAATAAATTTTTATTTCCCTTGAAGTTAGAAAAGAAAGATAATTTAGAATTGTGTGTTTATTTTATTACCCAGTGATCATATGTATAAATTAAACCCATTAATGCTATAGTTTATCTGAGAAGCTGAAATTTCTCAACCACTTCCATGATTAGGGTTTGTGTATATGGGTTATGGCTGTCTTTAAGTGGCTGCTAAAAGTAGTTTCTGAGTCTGAGCTAAACTGCTTTTTAATTCATTGATTTAGATAATACATTCAGACTGTTCGGGAATGGTGCCCACTTGAACTTGAAAGGAGCTGTTCACACCTTTGTAGATAGGGGAGAAGAGGATTTATAATGACTTTGAAGAATCAAAAGCTACAGTTGTTTACTCAAGAGAAGATGATGTTCTAATCAGAAGTACTACAGATTAGTTCAGAAAAGGAGAAAAAATAATTTAACTAGAAATTAGATAATACCGAAATGATAGTAGCATGGTCCCAAATAACATGTAGAAACAAAGTAAGAGTGATGAATAACTACAAGCTTGAAATCTCGTTAGGGAAGAGTGTTTCCTCAATGTTTGAACTCATTAACTAACCAAGAACAGTGAACGGCTATGTCGACACCATATTTCACTAGGGACTTGTATTTCCCAAACTTGTTGAACACTGAAAACTTAAACATAGTAACTTATTGAAGATATTCCATTAGAGGCCTATAGGTTGCATACTTGGATTAAACGAGAGAGAGAATGAATTCAAACAAATTGAGTGATCAAAATTATAATATTTAATATCTACAAATGTGTTGAAATTATAGACAAATGGAACAAAAGTCAGTGATCATAATTTAGGTAACGTGAAACGGTCGGTGATAAGTAAGCATTGCTTAAACGACTAAATGTATATTCAGTGTTGTGTATTATTGCATCAGGGGATGTCGCATGACTTCTAGATTTTTCTTAGGTGTATAACTAAAGGCATTTTATACATTTGTTACATAAAATGAACAACTGAATAACTGTCACCTGTATTCAGTAATTGGACCTAGAATTTTTTTATATATTGTAGCAGACTTACTTTTTTTTTTAAAGAATCACATAGATAAAAGATCTCTATATTTGTATGAAATAGTTTTAGCGTTTCTAAATCTTCTTCACATTTAGCCTCTCCTGAATTACTTTTTGACTTGAGTTGTCCATGTCCTGTTTTTCCACAGATCTTTTATTCCATCAAGAATTTTGATGATTCAGTATTTCTTGAGGATGCTCAGTTATTTCTGGGATTTTTTTCCCAGGCCATTGACAACTCATTCTGGAATTTTTGACACTAGTGCTTCCTTAATCTTACCAGAAGATGTCAATGGAAGTTTTTCAGGTAATAACCAGAACTCAGTCCTCCTTCAAATGGTTTGTAAAAAGCTTTGCTGACTGAAATGTTAAGGGATTGCGCTTGTTCAGTGATACCAGTAGAAATAACAAGCCACTGTACTTTCCAGGGATCTTTCTCAACTGTTCATAGAATGAATAGAGAAATGACATACTTGATGAATTACAGAAAGCTCCAGCATGTCTATTCTAGATAACTTTCAGGCAAGCTCACCTGTATTTCTTTCCCTGAACTATTGGGGCATCTTTCTGCTCTAAGGGAAATTAACTGAGAGATTCTGGGAATCACTCTCCCTTAAGGGATTTTATGTCAAATTGTATGTAACTATGACCATGGCAATGACAGTTTTGTCATTGGGCTAATGGAAAATTTAAGTTATAGCATGATTTCAGAGATGTCTGATTCCTTTCAGTTGATGTATCTGAGATCGATTCATCCATGTGGGATTTTTCAGCCAGAGAGGACAGCATACTACTCTGAAGGGCTGTGAAAAGTTTAAAATGACAATTTAGGCAAAAGAGTAGGCCAAGGCATCATAGGGCTTCGAAAGTATTTTGGCCTTTATTGAACTTTATTCTAAGGGAAAGTTGCTATAGGGTTTTAAGCAGGGGGAGGGCTTAAATCAGATTTTCTTTTTTTCTTTCGAGCACACAGTCATGTGAATCAAGTGATCAAAGTAGATATCCCTGGTAGTGGAACAAAATGGCATTGTGTCCTTGCCGTTCTATCATATCAGGAGAAGTCAATGTAAAATCATCATCAATGTAAAATTGTTGCCAATTTTTCAAAAAAAAAGATTTATCTAGAGTATAATCTTGAGGCAACAAATAGATCCTGGTTGTGGGTCATTCTGCAAAAAGCTTGCTCTGAACTTTTAAAAATGTCCATGTTGTGAAAGACCATAAAAAGGTGAAGAGGTGAGTAGTTCTAGATTAATGTGTGTGCAAAGTTTGTGGTCTTTGGTAGGGTCCTGGAATTTTTAAAAAAGCCATAAAGGTATTTGTGACATTTGGGGAAATGTATAATATTAGTGTTAAATTTGTTGGGTGTGATAATGGTATTGTAATTGTGTAGGAGAATATCCCTCTTTGTAGGAGCTACATGATGGAAAGTTTTTTCGGGGAGCTAAATATTTACAGTTTACTCTCCAGTTTTTCAGGCAGCGGGGAAGTATACATAAATATAAATAAAACAAATGAAGCAAAATGTTAGTTTTTTTTTTTAATAGAGGTACTGGTGATTGAACTCAGGACCTCGTGCGCACTAAGCATGCAGCTCTACCACTAAGCTGTCTCCACCCCCCTAAAATGTTACTAATTGTTAAATTTAGGTAGAGGATGCTTTTGATTTTCAACTTTTTGTAGGTTTGTAATTTTTCAAAATCAAAGGAGGGTAGAGCAAGCATAGTATAAGGTCAAGAGCTAGAGTCTAACTCTTAGATTTAACCCTTTGGTTGTAAGCTCAAACTTCAGCGTTGTATGTGAGGTGATGGTCTCTTGTGAAAAACCTTCAGTGAAGTTGATTCATCTAAAGTACCTGAGGTGTTGGATAATTTTGTGAAGAAATGTACTATTTTTTTAGTTATGGGTGTGAATGTACTGTTTTTTTTTAGTTACAGGTGTGAGATTAGATTAAGTATTGTGGTCAAACTTCCAGTAGCCTTTTGATAATGAAAGGATTATTTTGGGCAGTTGAGAATCCCAGATCACTAAAATGTGTGTGGGTAGGTGTTTTTAAAATCTTTTTAATCCTAAAACTTTTAATTTTATTTCAACAATTGAAGTCTTTTGTTTTGAAAGGCCTTTCAAAGGCATCTACCCAAATAAGTTTAGTGTTGATGAAATTCAATTTCCAAAATCATTTATGTATTTTCTCAGACATCAGCAGAACATTATTTCACTCATGTAAGCAAACTTAAAAATAATGCTTTACCCCTTTTAATAAAGCACCAAGATATTAAAAAAGTAACTTTGAAGGTAGTCTTCCAAAAATATGATGCATATTTATATACTACCTTCTGTAGTGCTAATTGTCTTGAAGTTTGAAAAGACCTACCATTTTAGTCCTATTACCAGGGAAGTAACGTTTTCTTTGTCTGTAAAACAGAAATACTTTATGAATAAGAAAATACATAAAACACCTTAAATAATAGGTACAAACTAAATGTTAATTCCCTTTTTCTTTATTGTAAAATAAAACATAGATAAAGAAATCTACACGTAACGAGTGTTCAGTTGAGTGAATTAGAAGTTGTGTGCTTTTTACCCAAAATATTTAAAAATTTTTTTCTTTAAAGCCACATAATACTATTAAGAGGATGTCTTGGGATTGGTCATTCTGTGTTCATAGTCAAATTTTGATTCATATTCTTTCATGCTTTGCATAATTTGCTTAATGTCTTTAGTTCACTTAGAAATAATACATTCCAGTTTTGATCTGTTGAGTATGTCTTTCTGACTTGCTCTCTTTAGAGATACTATTTTATTCCTTATTTCCTTTTTTACTTTTAGTAACTTTGTATGGGATTTAACTTCTCTGCTTATTGTTTCTCTTTCATGAAAATTTAATCTTTTGAATTTTTAGAACAAATATTCAGATAATGTCTGCAACTTTTGATAGAGTTCCCTCTTATGTTAAAATCATGGCAGTTTGTTTTTTGAGCATTCCTGGCACTGCTTCATTCTCCTTAAGTCTGGCCCTTCTGTTTTCCTTTTCTCTTGTCCTTATCCTAACTTAATTTTGATTCTGCTCCCAGCAGTTGCTCCTTACTGTGAGCTCTGACCTGGAAGGGAGCTCTGGCCTGTTTGTTGCCACCTGCGCACCGTTAGAGTGGGCACACCTCCCAGTGCAGCTACTGTTCTTACATTGGCCCATGTGCTTGCTAGCTAGCACCTGTTGGCTATTTTGGAATTCTATCCTCAGATTCTTTTATGAGACCTGGTTGTTACATGAGACACACAGCTGCTGTAACACTAGGGATTGTGACTGTTTAGTTCCCACCAGCTTGTATTTTGGGATTCTTGGGGGAATAACTTGTCATTTAGTTACGTATGTCTTGAGTTTTGGTTTGCTGTCTGGTTGTTCAGTGATATTTAGGAATTCAAGAAGATCCCCAAATGATGCCATTTCCATCTTTTTTTTTTTTTTTTTTTGGAGGTGGGGAGGTCATTAGGTCTAGTTATTTATTAATTAGGTTTTTTTTTTAATGGAGATACTGAAGATTGCACCCAGGACCTCATGCATGCTAAGCATGTGTTCTGTTACTTGAGCTATATATACCCTCCCCCAGTGCCATTTCCATCTCTACAGAATCTGCAAGATTCTTTTGCTTTATTCTTCATTAGGTTTCTGAATATGGTTTAGTTTTTCCTTAATATTTTTTTTTGCTGTCTTAAAAGATATCTTTATGAACATCACTTACTTTATGATGATTACCTAGGTCACTTGAGAGGGGTGTTAACCTTAAACCTTTAGGCTTTCGTTTTTACTTTTTAATAGATGTTATAAATAGACAAAATAGGTTTTTCTGTCTTGTGATGTGGAATTTCATTTGTCTCTACTATTGATGTGACTCCTGAGATATTTTTCTCATTAGGCTACTTTTTCTAATCTGGTGAAGTTTTGTAAGTCTAATGATCAAACTTTCAACTTTATGTGAAGTAGGAGTAAATAGATTGAAGGTTTTTAGGGAAAGAGAAAGAAACTTTTGCTTTTATTACTGGTGACCTTTTTGCTTTCCCCTGAGTTGTTGAAGCTTTGTGCTGGATAGGCAATGAGGCCAAGGATTCCGTGTTTCCTCAGTGATCTCTGGTGTCATTTGATTGAACATTTTAAAACATACTAAGGAAACAAAAACTTTTATTTTAAAATCAATTTATTTAAGTAAAAATTTGTTGATTTAAAGAAATAGACAGTCCTTGCTGCACAATATTAAAATGATCATAAAAATGATCTTACCAGCTGAAACCATGCAAAGCAATCTTAAAATCAATGGAAAAATTACGATGGTTTTGTGACTTTTACTAAACTTTGTTGACATATTAAGTCTTACTATTAATTATAAAAGGATAGGGAAAATAGTGAAACTACTATTTGGTATGACTTAAAACATTAGAAACACTGAGAATTGCTTTTCTTTTTAAACTACTCTTGATAAGTTTTTTACACAGTGCTTCCCTTCACATCTTTTCTGTGCTTTGATGGCTTTCAATATTTTATCCTTTGCATGTCATGAAATATCTCAGAGTTTCTTTAATTGGAAATATTTCCCTGGAGTCATTTCCTCTGGGACATTGTCATCCTTTTTATCACAACTGCTTCCCTCATTGATGTTGATAAGTTTTCCTTCACTAAGTGGGTCTGACTGCACATCTAGAGGGGCTCACACAGCAGCAGTGCCAACAGTGCCGTGGCCAGCTATTTCTTCTATAACTCCATTCACACTGGACTCGAATTTCACTTCTAGCATACAACTTTTCATTTCTTTGCTGCACTTTCATTTTGCTTGTCAGACCACTTCTTTGGTTTATCCATATGTGTAAAATGTGATGTGGACTTACCGCCTGACAACAAGGAGGCAACACTACCACACTCTTGGCTGTTTGTTGTGCAGTGACTAGTCACCAACAGACTTTGAAAGAAAGAACGGGCTTGGTCACTGATCATGATGTTTTTTTATGTGATAACTTGTGGATTGATGAGCAAGGTTTGTACTTTATGTAATTACAGTTAATATATGTTAACTGAAATTTGAACCATGATGTTAGGGACTGTTTTTGGTTAACTAAACCTTGATATAAAACATAGCATGAAATTCATGCATTTAAAAATTATCCATAGTGAGAACTCTGCTTCTAATATGAAAAAAATAGGTTGTCCTTGTATTTGATGAAAATTTTGAGGGTGATAATGGAACTGAATCAGAAACTTACACAATAACATAGTGATCTTTTAAATATACTTTAATCTTTACTAAAAATAGATTAAGAATTTTTAGATAAATTCCTTAATCTTAAAGGGAAATGTGTATGTGTGTGTATACAGAAAGACTAAAGGTAACGGTGTGAAAGGAGAAAGTTTTAGCATTTCTTGAACTAATATATTCTATAAACTTCTGTTTTCCTTGATCTGATTTTTCTACATTGTTCAGTGTTTATGTGATTAAAACCTTCATTTTTGTGATCTGAGTAATTCCTTCTGGACTGTGGTTAGGTCCCTCTCACAAATCCTCCTCTGTAGATGTGGCTATGATTGTTGCTTTTTCGCTTACTGCAGAAGGGTGAGTGGTGGTGTGAGGTCTGCATCTCACATAAATGGAGATGCAAGAAGGGTGAAAGGATTGTATAAGTGCCTTTAAGGGGGTTTACAAGGTTTTTTAATGTACAAATTTTACAACTAGAGGGGGGAAAACTCCAAAAATACGTCTGTTGTAAACATTTAGAACATACTGAAGAGTCTGAAAGACAAATTTTAAATAGCTTACTAGTTTCGTTACTCAGATACAGCCTCTGTTAATCTTTTGGTGTATAATCTGTCTATACATTTTCTTCTCATACATACACACTCTTGCACTTTTACACAAAATGTTATGAAATGGGATCATATTGTATATGCTTTCTCCAAGTGACTTTCCAGGGTACATAAACATCTTAAAGCTTTTTCTCACCTGAAATTTATAAAAACAGGAGAGAGACTAAAGTAAACACAATGTTTGTATCACCCAGTTTCAATGATTTCAGTACGTAGGCAATCTTGTTTCATCCATACCTACCTACTTTTGCTTTATTTTGAAGCCAGTTGCAGGTAAATATTTTAGCACACTCCGCCTAAATATTTCAGCACACATGGAAAAGGTTTTACTTTTTTCCGAATTGCTCTCCCAGAAAAATGTTCTCAATGTACACTTGTCAGAGATAAGATTAAAAAATGTTTTTAAAATTTTACTCTTGTGGGTTAGATGCATATGTAATTTTTCTCAGGTAATATAAAAATGCTAGTAAAGTGAATTTGGGCATGCTTATACTCTGGCAGGGAACTTACAGTTCCTCATCAGTATGTTCCCTCATAGGGATGCTGTGACTATTAGATAGGGCGGTCATATAATTTATTGTCCAAACTGGGATGCTTTTGAAATTTGAAGGAGGCACTATTAATGATAATGCCAGTATAACAGGCATGGCATAAACCAGTACTATATTTTGACTTAGCTGGGTTGTATGCTTACCCTATTATTGGATAATGTGCAAAAGATTCTTTAAACATGAAGTGACTATATCATGTAGTCAATAGATGGTAGCTTTTATTTATTCCTGTGGATGAATATATGTAAAACTCTTTCCTTTAAAAGAAGTATTTTGAGTTGGCAACTCAAAATCCTGAATTAACCATTTTTGTTTCTGTGTGTTTTTGGAGCTGACAGTGATCACAATTTTTGAAAGTAGCTCTAATTTTTATAATTAAGAAGACATTTGTGTTAATATTTGCAGCTGGAGAATGCCGGAGGAGACCTTAAGGATGGCCACCACCACTATGAAGGAGCTGTTGTCATTCTGGATGCGGGTGCTCAATACGGGAAAGTCATAGACCGAAGAGTGAGGGAACTGTTTGTGCAGTCTGAAATCTTCCCCTTGGAAACACCAGCGTTTGCCATAAAGGAGCAAGGGTTCCGGTAGACTTTTCACTTACGTTTTTCTGAGAAGGTTGAGCTTAGATTGTGGGATATTTTATTATTAGTTTGCCAGGGTGCTGAATTTTTTAATGAAAATAAGACATGGAATGGTTTTACAAGAAATTTCTCATGGCTCTGATTTAAAAAAAAAAAAAAAGGAAAAGATTACCTTAATTTTAAGTGCACAGTTAGAAGAATTTATCATATCATATCATATCATATTTTAAATATCTTATGTTTTATAGGATTTCTCGGTCAGGCTTAGATTTACTATTATGGTCATTCATTCATTCATTGATCCCAGTGCATTTGATCAAAGAAACATATATAGTAGCTAGAATGCCTGGATTAGATCCTGTGTACAATATGTCTCTGCTGCTTATCCCCAGAGACTAGTTTCTAGTATGAAGACTTCCTAAGTCTAATATAAGGGCTAATTCCACAGCATGTACTCTTAAATCTAGTCAAAACGACATCTAACTTACATAGCTTTTTCCTTTAACAACTATTTCGGGTTGATGCAGTGTCTTCTCTCATGGAATTAATGTTCATTCTTTATAAAGAGTGTTATTCAGAAGCAGGCAACTGCAGTTTATATCTTTAAATGGCTCTTAAACCTTAGTGCTATGTTTCTTTCAAAATAATGTGTTCTTTTTAAAAACACATGTTTTTCCATTAGAAAAATGGTTAACTTTAAAACTCCTTAGACGTATATTCATTTTCTTGTGATTCTTATTTCTGAAATAGAGTGACTTGGAAATCAGAAAAGGCAGGCTTAAATTTAACCCTATTCTAGTTTTAAGATGCAGATTTAAAACAGCTATCCCTTTTAAACTGTAGAATTTTAGGGCAAGAAGGGATCCTTTGAGTTCATCTAATTCAACTGTCTTGATTTGCCAGAGAGAACCAGTTTTAAGGGAATCAAAAAATTGCAAGAAATTTGAATGTTAAATCCAAGCTCCTTCATTCCCGCCACCCCAAACAAACAAACAAACAAAGCCCCAGCAAACTAATCGAGACCAGATGTTTTAGAATAGGGTAACTAATTCTTGGTAATAGAAGTCTAATTTTTTTTTCTTGTCACCTAATTACCTGTTCATAAAGAGTTCTTAGGTCCTGCTCATGCCTAGAGCTTCTTCTCTGTGTAGAAGAGTAGGAACTATAGTACTGAGGCTTTCATTGCTGTAATCCTTTCTGCTGAGATAGCTATTTGACACCCTTTTTCTAGAATAAGTTTTAGGTTTATGACATGAGAGACATCTTAACCTGTTTTCAGAACCTTGATCTGTCTGATACATAAAATTGGTATCGAATGCCTTGGGGGGCCTTACTGGGCCTTGTAATTGCAATTTAATTTCAAAATAATAGCACAGTAGAAATAGAAAACTCAGAATGGGTGATTAGCTCATCTTAAGACTTACTGAGATAAGAATTTTCATAATTGGTTTAAGTGCTGCTTGAGTTTTATCCTTGACTAAGTCCATTGCCTTTTCTTTTTAATAGTATTAAGAATCTTACAGCCTTGAGTTGTTTAGCAGATTAATGAGGGATGCTGGGCAGTCCCATGGTGCTTATCCTTTATAAAGCTAAATAAAACATACTGAAATTCTAGAGATCTTGATTATTAAACATGTTTTATAGAATTCTATCTTCTGCATTTTTAAGGAGCTAGGTTATATATTTACCCTTTGGGCTAACCCTGCATCCCTTTAAAATTGTTATCTTAAAGATGTCACATTTATCATCTGGGTAGGTTGTTGTCAGTTTCTTTTACCAGGAAATAAGCTAACTGATGTAATGTGTACCATAATTCATGTTACCAGTACAAAGTTCAAAATTAGGGCTTTTGAGCTCCCTGAAATTATTGTTACATATTTAAAAACTATATACTAGCTTGTAATTTTTATGAAATTGACTTGCATTACTTTTCTGGATGTATTATAAGTCTAACATTTTGGTTTATATGTTTTTATGTGGCAAGCAACCGCTAATTATAAAGTGAATTGTAATCCAAATTTATTTGTAAGTAGATTTTAGTTAGATCTTGGAATGTATTTCCTTTTAGAAATACAGATAAATTAGAATTTCTACAAATTCAAACTTAAAAAGAGTTTGAAAATATCTTAAATTGAGTAAAGAGCATAAGTATGCCTGTACTGTGTAACTGGGCGTGTGTGGCAAACTGGAGAGCATGAGTAGTCTGAAGGTGCAAGTCTCCCTGTGATTCCAGTCATTTGTAGCCACGTGAGGATGAAGGTCCAGTGTTGACAGATTTTTCCCCGCCTCCTTTTTCCTAAAGGAAACCTCAAAATCTGAATTTTTATGTAAAATTCAAAATATTTGAAGTGTTGTAAAATTCTTTTGGTTGAATGCTGAGGACCAAAGTTAGATGTATCAGAGGTTGAGAGATATAGGCCTCAGTGTTCAACTTTCTTTATAATAATAGTTCTATTCCCAAATTAACCCATAGAATGTTCCATAAATTACAATGTAGCTAAGTAATAATTTTGACTTGGGCTCTGAGAGCAGGGCATGTGAGGCAAATCATGTTAGCTTCCATTCCTGGGTCACAGGTAAAACTGTCGGGAATGTTGGACAGGTTTTAAACAGGCAAAGTTAGGTAATTCTTCACATTCTCTGCCATTCTTTATTGTAAAGTATTGTGCTCTGAGTCATTCAGGGCCTTCATAATACTGTCAGTTGTCTTCCTGTGACCTACTTTACTCCTTACCTTGCAGAAGACCTCTATTTTCTCCGTCTCCCTTGAGAATTCTTGTTTACTTTCTCCATTGATGAGGAAAACAAAACAAATTCAGGCTAACCTTCATAGATACTTGGTGTTATATATTTGGAAGTTTGTGCTTATTAACTGGTGATTGTTTAATTGATAAACTTTCACATATTGCAATAAAGTAAACATAATTAAGCTGTATAGGAGGCTGTTAATTAGCTGTGATTGAATCTGGATCTGCTACAATATACTGGAAACATAACAAAATCTCAGAACCTGTATTGAGTCTTTTTCTCAGTGATACAAGCAGGAGAGGGCATAGACTTTGTATAAAAATGAGCAGCTAGAGATTCTTCACTGATTCTCTTCCTTAAATCTACAGTGCCATTATCATTTCTGGAGGACCTAATTCTGTGTATGCAGAAGATGCTCCTTGGTTTGATCCAGCAATATTCACCATTGGCAAGCCTGTTCTTGGAATTTGCTATGGCATGCAGGTACATATATCTGTGAATTTGCCTTGAGTTGCCTTAATTTTTTTCTGTATCACTCCTACCATACTAGTATTTTTTTGTCTTTTGAGTATTTAGGATATTTAGTTGTATGAGGTAATTTGTTTATATTACAACTGTTTATGAATACTAATATGGCAGAGCTGACCTGAGAGGGGATTTTTAAGAGAAGAAGCTAATTATATTACTGCATACAACACAACACTGTCCACTAAAAAACAAACAAAATTTAGACATTCAGACATACATAAAAGTTGCAGAAACAGTACACAGAGCTCCTGTACACTTTTACTCAATTCCCCAATTGTTGGCATTATTAACCATTTTGAGAGTAAATTGCAGACATGATTTCTGTTACCTATATTATCTAAGCACTAGAATTCTCTCCTATGTAACTACAATACAGTTATCAGAATCAAGAACTTAATATTGATTCATTGTTAATGTCTAATCCACAGACTTCATTCATATTTTACTATTGTCTCATTAATGTCTGTTATAAGTCATGAATTCAGTCTAGGACTGTATATTGTCTTTAGTTGTCATGTCTCTTCGCATTCCTTTAGTTTGGAATCATTCCTCAATCTTTCCTTTTCTTTTGTGACCTTGGCAGTTTTTTAAGAAGTACATTTCAGTGACCTTGTAGAATAGCTCTCAATTTTGGTTTGTTTGATGTTTCCTCATTGTTAGATTCAGGTTATGTATTTTGGGGCAGGAATGCCACAGAAGTGATGCTGTGCTTCTGTTAGAGCATCTCTTTAGGAGGCACAAAGTCAATTAATACCATGATAGGTGATGTTAATTTCCATCATTTGGTTAAGATGGTGTTTCCCAGGTGTCTTCACTGTAATGTTAATTAATTAATTATATCTAGGGAGTAGCCAAGATGGTGAAGTAGGAAAACCCATAGCCCACCTCCTCTCACGGGCACATGAAAATTTCAGCTATTTATAGAGCAACTGTTGACAAGAATCTAGCAGAAAAGATCTTCTTCAATTAAATAAAATAAAGAAGGAACCACAACAAGATGGGTAGGAGGGGCAGAGTTGCAGTATAGTCAAAACACATACCCCTAGGTGGGCGACTCACAGACTGGGAGGTTAATTACCACTGCAGAGGTTCTCCCCAAGGAGCAACAAGTTGGAGCCCTACATTGGACTTCCCAGCCCTGGGTTGTGCACTGGGGAGATGAGCTCCCAGAATGTTTGGTTTTCAAGGTCAATAGGGCTTACTTTAAGGAGAGCCAGGGGGCTGTGGGAAATGGAAACTCCACTCTTAAAGGGTGCACACACAATCTTTAAAAGATCCAAAACCCAGGGCAGAAGCAGTGATTTGAAAAGAGCCTGGGTCAAACCTACCTACACATCTTAGAGAGTTTCCCAGAGAGGCAGGAGGCAACTGAAACTCACCATGGAGACACAGACGCTGGTGGCGGCCTTTTTTTCCCCCATTTTTTTCATTTTTCAGTTTAAGTAGAATTGTTATAATTTGAGTGCACATATACAATATATTACATGTAAATACATATACACAATATATTGCACATTTAAAAAAATTTATATATATGAACTGTTCATTGTTTCTAAGAATGTTTAGAGCTTTATCTTTTTAAACTTACATAGTTATCAAAAGAATTAAGCCAACCACAAAATAAGAGTTAATTCAGAAAGATACATACACCCTGCTACTAACAGCAGCATTATTTATAATTACCATGATATGGAAGCATCATAAGTGCACATCAATAGATGAATGGATAAAGAAGATGCAGCATGTATATGTAATGGAATACAACTCACCCATAAAAGAGGATATTCTGCCATTTGTAGCCCTTCATTCACTTTTTTTTTCACTTCAAAAACCAGAATTTTATAACTGGCATTAATATTTCCATTGCATTAAAAACAACAAAACACATAGAAATGAACTTAACTGAGGAGGTTACCTATACTCTGAAAACTGTAAAACATTGATGAAGGAAATTGAAGATGATACAGAGAAATGAAAAGATATCTTGTGCTCTTGGAAGAATCAACATTATCAAAATGGCCGTACTCTATTACCCAAAGCAATCTACAGATCCAATGCAACCCCTGTCAGAATACTTAATGGCATTCTTCACAGAACTAGAACAAACAATTCCAAATTTACCATAAAAGACCCTGAACTGCCAAAGCAATCTTTTGTAGGTTTTTTTTTGCCTCTTCTTTTTGTTATCTTTCCTTATGGTTTGATGACTAGAGAAGGTCCTTTAGCATTTGTTGTAAAAGCTGGTTTGGTGGTGCTGAATTCTTTTAGCTTTTGTTTATCTGTTAAGCTTTTGATTTCTCCATCAAATCTAAACAAGAGACTTGCTGGATAGAGTGTTCTTGGTTGTTTTCCCCTTTCATCACATTAAATATATTGTGCCACTACTTTCTGGTCTGTAGAGTTTCTGCTGAAAAATCAGCTGATAACCTTATGGAGTTTCCTTGTATGTTATTTGTTGCTTTTCTCTTGATAATTTTAATATTTTCTCCTTATCCTTGATTTTTGTCAATTTGATGACTATGTGCCTTGGTATGTTCCTCTTTGGGTTGATTCTGTGTGGAACTCTCTGCACTTCCTGGGCTTGGGTGACTGTTTCCTTTCCCAAGTTGGGGAAGTTTTCAGTTAACTCTCCAAACATGTTCTCAGGTTCTTTCTCTCTCTCTTTTCTTACTGGGACCCCTATAATGTGAATATTAGTGCACTTCATGTTGTCCTAGAATTCTTTTAAACTATCCTCATTTCTTTTCATTCTTTCTTTTTTCTATTCTGCAATATAAATTTCCACTAATCTGTCTTCTAGCTCACT